TCCAACATCACTCAACCCGTGGGGTTTCAGTATGCAGCTATCCCCACTCAACTCGTCCATGTGTCTGGCAATCTCAAACCTCACTCAACTCTTGGGGTTTCAGTATACAGCTATTATCACTCAACACGTCNGCGTGTGTGATGCTGTTTCACCCCCGGTGATAGAGACAGGGAATGTATGCGGCGTAACCTGTGTTATCACCGGGGTGTGGTATCTTGTGTACCCCCGGTGATAAATCATGGTCTGAAAAATACACCCAAAATTACCACCGGGGTGTGGTATTGTGGGGGGGGTGTGGTATCTTATGAGGGTGTGGTATCTTGTGTAGAATACGGTATCCTCACTCAACACGTCTAGGTGTCCCGCAATCTCCAATACAAATCACCTGTGAGGTTCAATATGTGTCTATCCTCATTCAACGCGTCTATGTGTCCGGCACTCCAACATCACTCAACCCGTGGGGTTTCAGTATGCAGCTATCCCCACTCAACTCGTCCATGTGTCTGGCAATCTCAAACCTCACTCAACTCTTGGGGTTTCAGTATACAGCTATTATCACTCAACACGTCTATGTGTCCGGCAATCTCCTACATCACTCAACCTGTGAGGTTTCCGTAAGCAATCCTCACTCCACGCATCCATGCGTCACGCGTCTTTGGTAGCGCAAACTATGGGGGTTATATTTGGGGTGGCGTGTTTTACAGCGCTTTGCCAACAGCGCCAACCCACTTAAGTCTAGATTGGGGAGGGCGGCTGCGCGGGCTGGGGACTTTCAAATTTGCGGGTCTGTAAAGAGACGTTCCGGAGGCTTTTTGAGGGCAGGCGGGTCGGCTCCTGCCCGCAAGGGCAGATTTCCGGGCGCCGTGCTGTTGGAGCCGCTCTGGCTGTTTGGAGCACTCCCTCTTTCGTCCGTGTGAAGGACGGTCGCCTAGCTCTCGTGAAGTTAATACATCACCAATACAGTCTCACCCGATAAATAAGTGGCGTAGGCCGCAAACCGTTCCATGGTGGTGATTAGCTACTATGTAAATATGCATATGACATCCTCCTCCCCGGCCTGCCCCCCCCGTCCCTGGGGTAGGCCGAGGTTCCGCAAGTGGATCTAGACCTCGAAAGACCACCCAGCAACGACGGATATACGGTCCCTAGCACTGTTTAGAGGGGGATCCCGAGTTTGGCGGTTGGGAGTTACCGCTGTCGTGAGATCGGGGTAGCTCCTGAGCCTCCAGCTTTTGTAGCTGCAAAATAAGACTGGATCCTGACGCCCCGGCTTGGACACTGGGGCTATGCAGCAGCAGAGAGCACGGTAAGGTGGCGGAGTGGCCGCACGTCGTGGGGGTATGCCCCAGAGAGAGGAAAGGAGAGAGTCCAGAGATGGAGGGCCGCACCGCAACAACCGGGGTAACTATCATATTAGCCCGAGTGTTTGCAAGAAAATAGTAAAAAAACAAAAAAAGAGGGGAAGATGGAGGAAAAGGAGGGGTCGGGCGGCGCGTAGGCTAACTAAGAGAGCAGCGCGCGCAGCGCGAAAGAGACAGCAGGGTCAACTTCTAAGGGTAGCAACCTGGAATGTGCGGACTTTGGCTTTAAACGGGGCCAGTGGATACGGACGAGCTTACAGCGTTCAACACGCGGCAGCGAGNTGACGCCCCGGCTTGGACACTGGGGCTATGCAGCAGCAGAGAGCACGGTAAGGTGGCGGAGTGGCCGCACGTCGTGGGGGTATGCCCCAGAGAGAGGAAAGGAGAGAGTCCAGAGATGGAGGGCCGCACCGCAACAACCGGGGTAACTATCATATTAGCCCGAGTGTTTGCAAGAAAATAGTAAAAAAACAAAAAAAGAGGGGAAGATGGAGGAAAAGGAGGGGTCGGGCGGCGCGTAGGCTAACTAAGAGAGCAGCGCGCGCAGCGCGAAAGAGACAGCAGGGTCAACTTCTAAGGGTAGCAACCTGGAATGTGCGGACTTTGGCTTTAAACGGGGCCAGTGGATACGGACGAGCTTACAGCGTTCAACACGCGGCAGCGAGACAAGACGTATCGGTGGTAGGAATGCAGGAGACACGGAGGGAAGGTCGAACGGAATTTGCAGCAGCGGGTTTCCGGGTGTTCTGCTGTGGCACGGAGACTGGTGGAATCCATGGTGTGCAAGACATCCACGTTCACTACGGAGTTTATCGACGAACGCCTCATGACCATGAGGTTTCTGTTGTCAGGTCACCGTGGAGCGGTCAATTTCGTAGCCGCGTATGCTCCAACCGAACCTTCAACCGCCGACAGCAAGCGCGTGTTCTGGGGAAAACTTGACAGTCTCGTGCGGAGGATCCCTTCCAAAGAATGTGTGTATGTCCTACTGGACGCCAACGCGTGGACGGGAGATAGGTTGGACGGAGGGGACGGACGGGTAATAGGAATGTACGGGCGTAATGAGCTCAACGACAATAGCGTGCTGCTGTTGAACTTCGCAAGGGAAAACAGGCTAGCTCTCACGAACACGTTCTTTGAGACACGCAAGGGCGGAATATGGCACACATACAACGGTGTGTCGGGAAACGATTGCGAGCGCCTTGACTACATCCTGACAAGGCAGGCACATCACGGCCGAGTATCTAACGTGGTCGACATCCCCCAGCCGGTTCGCCCAGTCAAAGCAGACTCAGAGACCGCAATATGGTAGTAGCCACCGTCAACCTCGGTGGCAGGCTTGCCCACAATCATGCAGTCCGGACTAAACCGAAACAGAAGCAATTCAACCGACGGGAATTGCAGTTCGAAGCAGCACGGTGTGCGGTGACTAATCGGTTCCTCCTCAACCTCGACACACGACTGGACGAGCGAACAACCACCGCCGCGGAATTGGCGACCGACTTTACCAATGCTCTCCTCGACGCAGCACGGACGACCCTGGGGGAGGAACCGCGGAGACGCCGCACGCAGGAGTGGTGTGAGACCCCAGAGACGCGAGCAGCGCTGAAGCAGGCCCTTGCCAAACGTCGGGAAGCGCGCCGGGCGAAGAGGGGCAACTGGAACTCAGCGACGTGGAGGGTCCTCAAAGCAGCGTGTAAGGGAGTGGCTACAGTAGTCGAAACGGGCATTTATGCCCACCTGGACGGATATGTGACTGAGCTCGAAGAAATCTACAAAGATCGCGACATGCGAGGACTGTACCAACACCTCAAGAGACCAGTGGGCCTCAGCGGGAGACAAGCGGGGGAACGGCAGTTCGTCGCGGATGAGAACGGCGTGTTCCTCCGGAACAGGGACGACATCCTCCAGCGGTGGGCGAGATTCTTCAGCAACTTACTCAACGCCAAATCCCTCACCCTGAACCCAGACATCATCGAACGAGTGACGCAGCGGCCAGCGACACGTGACACTTAACGGCTGGGAGATGTGCCAGAACTCGAGGAGGTGGCACAGGCAACGAAAGGCCTCAAGAACTGGAAGGCACCCGGCCATGACTCCCTACCTGCCGAGTTGCTCAAGATCGATGACGACGAACCCTTCGTCCTGGGACACCTCCATACTGTTCGTGTGTTTGGATACGGACTGGTTAGATCTACCGGCAGCAACAGAGGGCACGCAGATGGGGCATATGTACACCTTGAAATGGTTGTATGTGCGGGGACCCCTCGAACTCCAAAGAGGGCTTCACTTCTCCCTACTCCCCTTGCGTGTCTAATACAAGAGATAATACATCTTCCCCTTCCAAGTGAAGGACATATACGAACACACTAGCGTCAGTCCCTCGAGGGAGAGTTCATTAGGAATGTCAGGTCGCAAAGATGGGGGTGACTCCTCCAGCGACTCTGCGGCGGAAGACAGAAAGGGGTCAAGAGAAGAGCTCGTGGCCCTGAGGACGCAAGCTAGCTCGCTGACGGATCAGATGAGCTATCGAATGTCGCTAGTGGAAGATACCATGAAGGCAAGCAAGAAGGAGGAGCCAGCTGGCACCACGGAGGGTGCCCCTGATCGCGGCGATGCTAGGGAGAGCGCCGCCGCGGAGTCCACGAACGCCGAAGGAGGGGCACCGTGGACCGGGAGTGCGCAGGACGGGAGGTACCTGGGCGAACCTGTTCGAGAGTCTGGCCCATCAGGGCGACACAGCGGCGAAGCACGGGGCTTTGTCCCCCAAGAGGTGAGAGTAGCCGCTGCTCACAACCAAGATTACAGTAGTGCCATGGGATATGTGGTGCTGCTGTTGGCGTTGGACACGGAGCCACAACCCCAGCGACGGGGTACCAAAGTTTGCGGTACACTTCTCCTCCGTTCAGCGGAAATCGAAAGATTTCAACGNTGTCCCCCAAGAGGTGAGAGTAGCCGCTGCTCACAACCAAGATTACAGTAGTGCCATGGGATATGTGGTGCTGCTGTTGGCGTTGGACACGGAGCCACAACCCCAGCGACGGGGTACCAAAGTTTGCGGTACACTTCTCCTCCGTTCAGCGGAAATCGAAAGATTTCAACGAATGGCTTAATGATTTCCGCATGGCAGCTAATGGCGCAAACCTGTTGGAACAGTTTGAAGAGAGCGGGAGCTTGGAGATCCCCGTCAACAGCGGAAAGAGCAAGTTTTCGCTGTCACAGCAGTGCCGGAGCGAGCAAGCTCGCATTCCATGCGTGGAACTTCCTGTCTCACGCGTTGAAAGAAAAAGATCGGAAATCTTGAAGAGGGCGGAGATGCCCCAGGGAGCTCTTCGTGAGCTCAAGACCATACACGACCCTGAATCATCTGTACAGCCGTCAGAGGACCTCAAGTCCCTGACGTCGACCAAGATCTCTAGAGGTGAAAACCCCCAAAACGCCCTAAATGAGATGCTCCAAACCGCAAAGTCCTTAACCGAGAAAGGACAAACTGTCAACGAAACGTTCATCCTTCACCTCTTCCTGGATAACCTTTCGGACGAGTATGCCATGACAACGCACAACCTGCGACACGCGAAGGAGTTGAAGCGGACCGGTGTGCTATAGGAAGTAATGATCGAATACAAGGCGATCAAGGATAAGCTGGAGCAAGGGAAAGGAAAAGGGGCGAAGGGCGCAGAGCAAGCGTACTTCGCCGACGGTGAGGGCCGCAGGGAGCGGTACTCAAGAAGGAGTCAGGGGCAAGGTCGTGGTCGTGGCGGCAGCCTTGGCCACAGCAGCAGTCGTGGCCGCGGCGGAGGCGGTCGCGGCGGCGGCGGCGGCGGTCGCCGCGGCCGCTCAGGCGGATCCGGAGGAGTCGGGGAGAGCAAGGGAAGCAGCAGTGGAGGCGCCGATGGCGGTGGTGGGGGGGACTATAAGTTCCCGGGCCGGTGCTTTAGGTGTGGACATCGTGGACATCAAGCGATCGGCTGCACTACCAACGAGAAGGACTTCGTGCCGTGGTGTGCGCGCTGCGAGGGGTGGGGCCACACCAAAGAAAAGTGCGCGACGGAGGAGGCCGTCCTAGCGCAAGTGGTGGAGCATGAGAGCGACGTGGACTACGTGGAAGTCCAGGCATTTCGTGCCGTGGCAGTCCCCCCAGGCGAGTGTGGTACCGTTGGTGAAGTAGGTCTAGTGGGGGTTGTGGAACAAGGCCAGGCGGTGTACGTGGCCGACACAGCGGCCACGTGCTCCATGTTCCGATGTGCAGACAACTTCGTGAACTACCGTGAGCGTAGCGGTTGGGTGAAGGGGAT